AAAAGAAGATGTTAAAAATGTAAAACAAAAATAATTAAGTCTTTTTTGAATGGTTTGGAGTCTTTTATATACAGATTACTTATTTGCATATTACTTAGATTACCCCTTTGAAAACAAGTTATTTTAAACCATTAACCCAGAAGATCTTTAGTAAGACAGTTGTTAAATTTTAATCCTATAATAGAGTTTCTTAAAAAAATTCTTTTTAAAACAGATTTTAACTGACATACATATGGATTGTTATTAAAATGTTTAAAGTTAATGAAAACAATTTCAAGCAAATAACAAATCAATGCGATCTTGCGACATTTTATATGTAAATACTATATAGTTATTTTAAATTTATATCGTCAAACAAACATATAAAGCTCTGATATCATTCATTGAGCACTCTTGCTTAAAAAAAAAAGAAATTTATATATATATATATATATATATATATATATATATATATATATATATATATATATTAGGGCGGTAGTCAAAAATGTTCAGATTTTGTCTGGGACAACCTCTAGTTCTGTTCCTATTGATCTCATGATCTCATGTGCAAAATTTCATAAAAATATTCCTTTATCAAAGGGTGCCACATGCCTGATAAAATGATAAAATCACGTGTACGCGATAGAAAAGATAGCCGTGTAAATTAATGTGTTGTTGAATATTATTGAAATCTTTAAATACATTTTTTTATCTGTAAATCCATTTTGAACACAACCAGAAGTCTTTTCAATGAGGTGTACTCTATGTTTTTTGTGAGAATCTGACCAGTTGTTAAATTTATCAACTAATTAATGTTCTGTATATGAAAAATATTTATCAATTTCCAAATACAGATAAAAAAAACAGAAATTTTACTTCATAGCATTTTTAGAAATTTGTTACATTCAAATAGTTAAATTTTTATAGTGCTTAATTATTAATTACTTAGCTGCAGCCCACTTACTTATTTTTTCTATCCCAGAATTCCTTGTAATTTGCCACCAAACCGCCACTTTGTATGTTTATCACTATCAGACTACCAAATTAATTATTTTAACTAAAATTTTTTATTTTTAACAATTTTGCAGTGGAATATCTCAATTGTGAAAAGTCAGTATACATTTAAGTTGTTATTTTGTAATATAAATTATGTAAACTACTTTGAATTTTATTTTATATAAATTCATATCTCTAAACTCAAAAAAGATACTGAATAATGGATATCACTGAATATATATTAAATGAATAAAATTTTATAACTTTTGCAATTCACATCATGCTTATTGCATAACTTTATTTATATTTTTCTAGAACAATAAATATCAGAAAATGTCACAATCAAAACCTGCAACTAGATCTGCAACCGAAATTTACCTTCTCGGTTTCACAAATGCCTCCATTAATGGTACTAGACTACCGTCACGAAAGCAAGCATTACAGTTTTTCTTCCATCAGTTGAAAATAAACAAAAAAACCATGCGAGAAAGTTCGGACATTACTATTAAAACACTTGCTGATTTTTGGAACAAAGCTTATATGCCAATGACAGCATTGCAACATGCAATTGCGAGGCTAGAGAAAATATACAACGAGTAAAGAAATCTACAAAAGGCTTCAAAAAGAGGAGGAGCAACTCAGATAGCGAAAGAAACAGCCTTTGTTGCATCATTTAAAGATACGTTCAACATTTCTCATGTTGATGCCGAGAGGCTTATGCAAAATCCAGAAGACAAACTTTTTCTTAAAGCTCAGCTTGGAAATGGAAGACACTCAAGTTCAATGGCACAAATAAACAGAAAATTGGCAGTCAAGTTGAAGCGTAAACATGAGAGACAAAAGGGTATAAAAGCCAGAACAGAATGAGAAGAATTGAGACATGCTGTCAGCAACGGTGAAGCTGTAGTTGAAACATTTGAATCAGATTCAGAAAAAAGTTGCAATGAGAACGTAGATTCTGACCATGACTCAGCTGTGACACCGCAGACAAAACGACCTCGTCCAAAAAATATTGTCAGTCTACAAGTTGCAGCAGCTTTAGATCGAACAAAGATCAGCGACCGAAATGCGGTTTATGCTTTGGCTTCATTCTCAATTGCTGTTGGTAAAAACCCAAGTGAACTAGCTTTGAATCGCTGGTCAATTCGACGCAATAGAATGAAACATAGAGACGAAACAATTTTGAAATTGAAGGAAAGTTTTGGTGAAAATATTAGGGATGTTCCACTCGTTGTGCATTGGGACGGCAAGTTACTCCCTGATATATCAGGAAAACATAAAAAAATAGATCGCTTGCCTATTCTTGTTTCGGGTCAAGGTGTAGAACGTCTATTGAATGTGCCTAAGCTCCCAAATGGCACTGGAGAGGCAATGGCAAATGCAGTTGTAACAGCAATCTACGACTGGAATCTTTCAGAGAATATAAAAGCCATGTCTTTTTACACTACAGCCAGTAATTCTGGGATTCGCTCTGGTGCAGCAGTTCTTATTGAACAAAAGATGAATAAAGAGCTGCTCCATCTTGCATGTCGGCACCATATTTTTGAAGTTGTTCTTGGAGATGTGTTTAACTCATTAGCTGGACCATCTACTGGACCAGACATTTTGATGTTTAAAAGGTTTCAAACAGCATGGCCATTAATCGTTCGTGACAGATATGAAGACGGTATATCAGATCCTGAAACAGCTTTAGTTTTTAGCAGCAACAGAGAAATGATGAAAGAAGCTATTGATTTCATTCAGAACTGCTTGCTGACAGAGAACCAGCCTCGTGATGATTATAGGGAACTTTTAGAACTGTCTTTGATATACCTGAGTCATATTCCTCCTCGCGGGGTTCATTTTATGGCTCCTGGGGCTATGCATTGGGCCAGATGGATGGCCAAGGCTATTTATTCAATCAAAATTTTTCTCTTCAGATCCCAGTTTCGCATGACGAAGCGTGAAATAAATTTATCATGTTTCTTGAATATTTTTGTCTGCTTTGTCTCAAAAATCTCAACTCATGGTTTACTGCTTCGCTATCCATTCAAGCTCCACTGAATGATCTCATGTGCCTTAAACGACTCACACAATTCAGGACAATAAATTTAAATGTTGCGAATGTAGCGATAAAGGCATTGTCTCGTCATATGTGGTACCTCAGTGAGGAACTGATTGCCTTTAGTTTTTTTGATGATCGTGTTGATGCAGCTACAAAATACGAGATGGTAAATGCAATGAAAACAAAAACTGGAAATGGAATTCCTGCAAAACGTGTTCAACTACGTGAAAACAACATTTCATCATCAGAGCTTGCTGGTTTCATTAACTCGAACACCATGAGGTTTTTTGTTATACTGGGCATCTCAACTTCTTGGCTCGAATTGGATTCATCTTTGTGGAACGAGGACCAAGTTTTTATTGCAGCTAAGCATTTTGTAGCCGGTTTGAGCGTTGTGAATGACAGAGCAGAGAGAGGAGTTGCTCTTATCCAAGACTTTAACCAAATTCTAACAAAAGATGAAGGACAAAAGCAAGCACTTCTCCAGGTTGTGTCTGCGCTTCGAAAACAGTTTCCAGATGCCAAGAAATCCACTGTTGTTAAACAGGACTAAATAGTCATTTTTCCATTCAAAACAAAATGAAAAATTAAAATGATATTGAAATTATAGTTAATTTTTCATGATTTTCAATGTTCAATACTTTGTTATTTAAAAACTTTTGAATTAAAATAGTTTATATAAAAATTTTTTTTTAAAGTGCTTACAGCCATTAGCGTCAACCTTAGTGAAACTTTCAACCCCGTGTGGCACCCCTTAATGATGAAATATCCTTCTCAAATTTTGCACATAAGTTTGTTATGCTAAAAGGAACAAAAATAGAGGTTGTCCCATCAATTTACTTTGAAAAAGTTTTTTGAGCACCACCCTAATATATATATATATATATATATATATATATATATATATATATATATATATATATATATATATATATATATATATATATATATATATATATATATATATATATATATATATATATATATATATATATATATATATATATATATGTATATGTATATATGTATATAAACATATCTATGTTATATATATATATATATTATATATAAATTATAAAACATATCTATATTAAATATATTAAATTTATATTAATATATTAAACTTTATATAATATATATATTGTAATGTTTTGTCTTCTTATTTATTATGAAGAATATTCGCGTTGGCTTTTATTTAATATTTATTTCAATATTTTGTATATTAAATTATTACAACTAGTTTATATATAAAACTATGTGTAGTTTCGTATTGAAACTCTAACTGTCATTAAGTTCAGCGCAACGGTTTTTAAGCGAGAATTCCTCGAGCGGAATTTTCTCAAGGGAATATTTTCGTAATCAGTTTTCGTGCAATTCGCAAATGGGAATAGCTTGTTTTGCAATCGCTGATTGCTATTCTAAATTAGCGTTATAAACGATTGTCCAAATGGAATTGTTTTGCGTAACAGTCATTACACCTTCCTTCTTTTAAAAATGCATTTCGTAATCAATATAATATTTTGGCTTCCTCGAAATTCTTCCTGATTGCGTGACAATAATATCGTGGTCTGATAATTAATCTTGATTTGTATTTAGATTAATGTTTGTGTTATTCAACAGTTTTCTTTTTCCCATGAATATGTCTTTTGATTCATTCAAATCGCTTTCATTATCGGATAAATTGACATCCCAAACTACTTCTTCTTTTGTTTTAAGTAGATGTCTTCTGTTTGTTCAAACAATATTTCTATATAGGGTTTTTACATTGAAACTTCGTTGCTGTTTGCTCTCAACAATTTTTCCTGGTGCCATTTATTTCCATCATGTATACGAACACAGTCTCCATCGCTTACGTTTTCCAATGTTTTCGCGTTTTTTTCATTATATTTCTTCTGTAAGTTTTGAACTTTTTCACAATTCTTCTTAAATTTATTTAGGTCGATTGGATTTATTTAAAGTAGTGAAGTTACAGAGAAAATTACAGAGAAGTAGGAAGTGTTGATCTCAATCTTCTTCCACTGATGAGCTGAGCAGCTGGTGCAAGACCGTCAACAGGAGTGTTTTTTACCTCTTGTAGAGCTATGTACAGATATTGATTCGACCTATTTGCTTTGGTTAGCAAATTTTTTGCTATTTGCACAAGTCTCTCAGCCATTCCATTTGATTGTTGATACTGAGGGCTACTAGTTATATGTTTAAACTTCCACTCTTTACTGATTTTTTGGAATTCTGAAGATTTAAATTGTGTGCCGTTGTCGCTCCGTACTATCTGCGGTATACCAAGTCTAGAAAAGATCATTTTTAGTTTCTTTATCACCGTTTGAGATTGAATGTTATGTAACCTTTTGATTTCCCAATAACGACTATAATAATCGACCACTATTATAAAATCCTGATTATTCCAGTGAAATAAGTCAGTTCCCACAATTTGAAACGAGTGATTTGGTATTTCACTTGAAATCATTAACTCCTTAGTTTGTTTTTTTGTGTATTCCAGACATGTTTCACACGACTTTACTAAATCTTCAATTTTTTTGTAAATGCTTGGCCAAAATACAGTTTCTCTTGCTCTCATTTTAGTTTTTTCAATATCCATGTGCGCTAGATGTTATTTTTGAATTGTTGCTTTTCGCATTGATGTTGGAATAAAAATTCTTTGTTCTTTGAAAATTATTTAGTTTCAGTTTCTTATTAAACGATCAATAAGGTTTTACTGAGTCTTCAACCTTTCTTTTATCCTGCGGCCATCCATTTGTTATGTAGTTCGCTACTACATTTAATGTAATATCTTTGAGCGTGTTTGTTTTTATTTCTTTGAGGTTTTCTTCTGATAATGAACAAATTGCATAAATCATATGCTCTTGAGCAGTCATTTTATCTTCCGGGATTTCTTCTTCAGTTTCATTGGTTTGAACTCTAGATAACGTAACTGCCAGAATCTTTTCTTATATATATATATATATATATATATATATATATATATATATATATATATATATATATATATATATATATATATATATATATATATATATATATATATATATATATATATATATATATATATATATATATATATATATATATATATATATATATATATATATATATATATTTATGAAATCGTTCATACCGAAAAAGTACTGCGAGAAGTTCTTTTTCAATGACTGCATAGTTTAACTGAGCTGGCTTCATTGACCTAGATGTAAATGCAGTTTTAGGGGTGCCTAAAATTGCGGGGCCCGGGGCTGTAGCCCCCCTTTGGTTCGGGCACTGCCACCAACCTTTATTTGCGTCTAGTTTTGTTAAATTATTTGCACCACAAGTCTAGTTGATAATTCTTCAAAAGTAGGTAATTGATAATGTTCAATTACCTACTTTTGAAGTAGGTAATTGAACATTATCAATTATCTACTTTTGAATTGTAGCTTTATTTAAGTCTCTTGGATCCAGACAGAGTCTTAGTTGTCCATTTGGTTTTTCCACGACTACTAGTGAGTTTACCCATTCTGTTAATACATCTACTCTTGTTATTACTCCTGTTTTTTCCATTTCATCCAATTCTGCTTTTTTTTTTCTCTCAAGGTAACAGGAATTTTTCTTGGTGGATGAATAACAGGATTTGAGTCATTTTTCAACTTGATGTGATGTTCAGGTCCAATCACGCCTAACCCGTTAAATAATTTTGGATACATTTTTAATATTTCTTCTTTCAACTCTTTTCCATGTTTTCTTTTAATACGTTTACTTTGTTTAGAGTAAATATTTCTTTTTGCTGCGACTTGTCTACAGTTTTTACTTCATTTAGTAGTTTGATAGCTTTTAAGCCTTGTCAAGTTTGTAAGCTAAGAACGAGTTTGCTTGTTGTTTCAACTACATAGAATTTAACCAACTTTTTACGACTTTTGTAGTAACACATCATCTTTGATGTTCCAAGCACTAGAATTTGATTTCCTCCATAACCACGTAGTTTAACATATGTATAAGTGAAATTATCACGTGATGTTAGTTGGTCGTAGACTCTTTTTCGCATAACACCAACTTCAGCTCCAGTGTCAATTTTTTCACATACTAATTTATTGTTAATTTTAAAGATTATTAAAGCTTCTTTTTTACAATTTCACCAGATGATACAGTTTCCACATAGTATTCTACAGTGCAATTTTCGAGTATGTTTTTTGAGTTGCAGCAAGTTGCGCAAAGATTTATTTTATTACATTTACGGCACGTTTGACCGAATGCAGGACAGTTTCTTGGTTCGTGTTTTCTATTGCATTTCTTGCACTGTCTTTGTTGTTGTTTTTTACTTGAGCCATTATTGATTTGTTTCCATTTTTGTTTATTTAGTTCAAACCAGTGCTTTTTGCTTCATTTTCGTAATTCGAGAACTTTCTCCATTTTGGTATTTGACGCATTCGCTTATCTTGATTTTATGAATTTCTTTACCACATCGATATCTTTTTCGTATGTAATTGATTTCATTTCTGCATTTTCAACTTCTTTAGCTCTGCATATGTCTATTGTTTTAGTTAAGGTTAAATCCGCTCCTTTTTTAAGTAGATTATTTTGGACTTTGTCTGATTTGATTCCGTCAATTATTTTGTATAATACCAGACCATCTTGAATGTTTTCAAACTCGCATGCTTGAGCCAGATTTTTTAAATCAGTTACAAAGAAATCAAATTATTTATTGACATCTTGTTTTCGTAAGAAAAACTTTCTACGTTCCAAAACCAGAACTTCCTCTTTTTGGTAAACAGTATTCTTCGAATCTTTCAAAAAGTTCTTTTTAAAATGATGTCATCAATTTCACTGTCGTCATTTTCTGTTTTGTTCCAAGTCCATGTCGACTAATGTTGATAAAAATCTTGATAAGAAGTTTTTACATTTTTAAGAAGATTTCCGCATTTATTTCCCTTAAACTGGCCCTCATGATATGAACTCAGTTAAATGTGTAGAGGGGCCGGCCACTTAATAGCTTCTATTTAAGCAGTTTTAAGGATCTAGAAAAGATGGTTGACAACTCCTAAGAGGAAATGCAATTTCATTGGTGGAATGATTTCCAAAATCAGAACATTGACAAGCCCGCAGATGATTGGCTTTCGAATGACATTACCAAACAGCTTTGCATTAGTAACAACCCCGCCAGATCGCTGAAAAGACTTGAGCCTTGAATTGATTGAACTCAGTGTTTGCAAGTCTCCAGAGTTAGCAAGACACTCAGATTTGACGTCATTCCATGAGAAAGTAAGGGTATGTACTTGAATCAGTTTGAAGACGGCAATTTATATAAGAATTTGTCTCTTGCCTCTAGTGTCTTTTCCAGTTCTTTGAGTGAGAGGTTGTTGTTGTCACGTAGAGCATGTTTCATCTCTTAATGCAATATTGACAATGCTTAGGCAAACTTGAGAAAAACTTTGCCACCATCAATTCCGAGCTTATCGAAATAGCCACCAGACATTTTGCAGGACTGATAACATGATTCACAAGACTTGATAAATCATTGCAGTGAGAAATAACCCAAACTGTATCAGAATCTCCTTTTCCATCTGTGATTTTTAAGTCACTTTAGGTAAAGAAATTGCTCAAGTGTTTATCTGCTCTTAGGAGATTCATGTAGAAAAATGGCTCTACCATCTTGCTGCTTGATGTTTGGTTTACAGTTCTAACAAGTTTTTTTTATTCGTTGTTTTATAGGTCCGCATTTAATCGCACATTTACAAGGGCTAGAAGGAGCGCTTGATGGTGGCTGAGCACTACTTTGACCTAAAACCAAAGCAAACATATTTTATAGTTACAATAAATTTTGTTTAGTAAGGTTGTATAAAACTTTCAAGATATTTTTTTTTAAAGAAACTAGAAACTTGTCAAAAACTTCCTGAAATCTATCTAGTGTTATTTCTTAACAGTCAAGACTTTATTTCAATATATATGTAAAAATTATTTTACAGGGTAACTGCAAGTGGAGGCCTGCCAGATGCTTTAGCAAGTAGAATAGTTCCTTCCGAAGATAATACTTTATTAGAAATAACTCGAAATGCAATTTGTTCGGCTGCTTTGGCATCTTTTGATGCCAAAGATTGAAGGTTTTCCTTGAACATTATTTCAGAGCATTGGTGGGGCAAATCTTTTCTTAAAAGGCTGAGGCATGTGCTGCAACGTACATTTGTTTTCTTTTCAATGGTGGTTTGCTCTATAAGAGGATGTTTTTATTGCTTTGAACAAACAATTCGGCATACTAGGCAACAACACATCGTGCCTCTTGTTTCAGGTCTCACTTGGATTGACTTAAAATCAAACAAAGAAGGGAGTGCAACTTCTTTCCTCTCTTGTTTCCTGCGCAAAGTAGTTCTACACGAAACGCAGAATCATTTTGGTACTGATATTGATCTTTTTTTTTTTGTAAAGTTTGCATATTCGATCTGCTTGGAAAGTAGTAAGCTGTCTTAAATATTTTTTCATACAGAGCAAGGAGAAAAACTTTTTATTTTCATCATGATTCTTTGCTTGATTTTGCATTGTGGCAATTCACTAAATCTGACTTCACTAAAGTAAACTCTACATTTTACAATATTTAACCTAAATTTATATTTGAAAGTGCTGTAACCACTGCGCCACGGTCGTATGTGCGGCCGTGGCGCAGTGGTTACAGTATAGTCATTTATAGTATATTATTAAAAAAACATTTTTTATGAATTTTGTTGCGTTTTTTATTATATTGTTTATATAATTAAATGCATTTGACACTTCTAAGTGCAATAACTTAAAAACGCAAATTCTCGTTCTCGTTTTTTGCTATGGTGGATGTGTTATTTTTGACGAATGTGATATTTTATTACATATTGCATAAAATAATTAGTAACAGTAAATTCCAGACATCATTTACTTTACCTTGCTAAAGCTTTTATTAAGTTAGCTATTTCTTTTGATAGATTCACAATAAAAATTATTAAATCTTGTGCTGCATTTGGATATTTAGCAGATGTATACAAAACGACACAAAATCCTTCAATAAATTTCCTCTAAAAAAACTTTGAATTACGTAAAATATGAATTGTTGCTTTGAAATGTGATACTTTTCTTACATCCAAGCATACTTGATTATTTAGTGACCCTTTTTTAGAATCAGATTACATTTACAGTGTCCCAGATAAAAAAACATTGCATGTGCAGATCATCATCATAAACCCGGTTTATAATAAATGGTGTGTAATCAAGTTTTGTATTTTCTGCAAATATGCGGAGACAAAAAAAAAAAAAGTTAACAAACAATAAAAAAAACATTATTAATTTACTAATTTTTATCCTGCTATAAATTTTTCCAGCAAAGAAAATAATTTATCACATTATCAGATAAAAAGTACTTTTGGTAATACTGACCAAACCAATTAGTCTCTAATGCTATCTATAAGATCTGTATCACCAGCAAACAAAATTTTTAAGAAAAGAAAACATTTTTACAAAATATGAATTTCCTTTTGAAAAAACAAATTAATTTACAACTGATGCTGCAACTATTTTAGGCAGAAATCTTTAACTTATTTATGAAATCGTTATATATATATATATATATATATATATATATATATATATATA